GAATATGGAATTGCCATCCAGACTATCGGCAAAAAGCTTCGTACTGTACTCGACAATGCTCAATCCAATAGCCTTCGCATGATATACGGTGCTAGTGCAAAAGCCAGTACACAGGTTATGTGCCATATGGCCAATCTTCCTCGTATGGAAGATCGTGTCACCATCCTCCAAGCAAAATTCATCCTTCGTGCCCATAACCAACCATCGGATAGTCTATTACATCAGCTACGCCAAATCATCACACCAAAGCGTACTGGAACATCCTCATGGCGCTCACTACTACAAAACAACATCATTTGGATGGATTTACCATCACCTCGATCAAACACCAATCGCAACCAAATGAAAGGAGCAATTCGCACATTCCTCCACAATCGACTTCAGATATACAAGGCTAGACGCGGTACTAAGCTACTCAACGCATGCAGACCATTTAATGGGATTGATCCCATCCTATGGCTTCCCATGTCAATCAATGAAAGAAGCAGGTGCGTTCGATGGCGCATTGGTTGGCTACCAGGTGGAAAACCCAAACCCTGTCCAAGATGCCGTGAACAAAAGGGCACTGTACGAAACCATCTTATCCATTGCCTTAACATGCATGCAAGGCTTAAGATATCCAATCACATTGAGGACCCTCTTTCGTGGATTTTAAATCGTCTCCCAAAAACTCGTCCTCGTCGCAGCAATACACGACATTATTGGTGCTCGATTTGGCCAGCAGTTTGTCTCATTTTAGACGATCTTGAAAACATACAACACCCTGAGTATGAGCCTCAGTCCATATACTCAGAAGATCCCCCTGGTCATCGCTTGGTACAATGGTTATCACAAGAGTCTACTGCCATACCATCTCCTTCTGATTCATCTCAAACTGCTTCTCGCTAGATCCCATTTATTATTTTTTCTTTATTTCTTTGTCTTCCCCTTTTCTCGCCCCATCTTATGATTGTTTACTCTTCCCACTTCTGAACTTACCCACCATACTCCCACCTTGTATGTGTTACCTTTCTACCCTACCCTTTTTTCTATTGATCCTATACATCTACCCTTAGTAGTTTTACCTCCATCTCTTTTAACCATCCGGTACTTCTCCCTTTTTTCCTGACGCATATCAGGTTTTCAGTACTCTTGACTTGCTGGATCGGGCTAGGGCAAAAAGCTGATATCAGCGCGTGCTCAATTCGTAGCCATTTGAATAAACTTATCTTAAAACCGTCATCCTCACCCCTCCGGTGCACCACGCCGGATAACGGGGGATGCCATTGCGTCTTCTATGGCATCGTCTAATAAAGGTGCTGCTCGAGCCAACATGTTCGGTCTGATAAAAGGACAAAATAGCCATCCCATGCCCCACAGAGGCCAACCCATAAGAGCAAAAAGCAATACATGATCCCATATCTACCACAAGGACACCGAGTGACAGTCTGACTTCCAACGGCTAAGGCAGTAATCCTCAAATGCAATTGATAGGGCCATGATAGGGCTGACCACACTGTCGCATATGAATCATAGCTGCCAACGATGCTTTACACAAAAGAGCAAAGCACCATCCCGTTCTACCCATAGCAAATAAACATCCGCCATATCAGTAGTAGCTGCCATCAAGCGACCTTCTTGGGTAGGCGTCATGAGAGACACATCATGCACTGCAACAAATAAATCCGGTCTTGATGAAATAGCATATGCGAGAATATTGACTTGCCGAGAGAACGTCCAAGGTATCCATACAAGTACTTGAGGAGAATGAGATCCGCCATGGCACCAATAAAAACATTGCTTCGAAGATCCACCGATGCAGAGACGACTTGTAGGTAGCTGATTTCCAAAACCATGGAAACGGTATCCTTGACATCCACAACCATAAGATAATAGAAGTTGCTGCGGATTCACACAAAAGGAATTTTTAATACTTGGTAACGAGAACTATCGAACGATGTAATAAGGCCTGCTGATACCGAAAGATGCCAAAGACGATGCTGCTTGATCCTAACATGGTTCACCTATAATAGATGCACCGTAAACAATTCTCCAAACATGTAAAACAACACTTAGCAATGATAACTGTAATCCTGGGGACTTCAATGCAAGATGATCCACCTAGAAAGACACATGTCAGCAAGAATAATACTTCCATCTCAAAGACTTTGGAATGATACGTACATGAATCTCTCACAATCAGGATGCAACCACAAAGCATAGTAATAAGAAAGGCGCAATGCCAAAGAATGCCAAGGTACCTGTACTGTCTACTAGCCCCTTCCCGAAGGAAGCATAGTGCCAAAACACCGGATTTAACGGTGACATGAGCCCCTCACCAGCCGACTTTGACACCACCTGAGCCGTGGATCCGCATGTTGCAACTGCGAACAGAGGATGCGTATTTAAATTGGTCTTGCCATAGCACCATGAGCACATGTTTCCACAAGAGGTGGTAAGGGCAACATGGTCTCCCCAAGACAGCACGCAGTACAATAGCATCCTTGACGTGCCCACGTGATCTAGCAGAGCAAAAGCCTTCTTGATCCTACCATCACACACCTTCCATTGTAAGTGCACTTGCATGCGACACATCCCATAATGGATACTCTTACCTTGTGATGCTTCTCAATAGCATTCTTCCTCCAAATAAGAGCCGTATCTCCATGCCAACCATATCTCCATGCCATCCATATCATGCCGCTGCTATTCCATTGTAAAGCTCGTTAATTGATAGCACTTGTATTGTAGATCCAATGCTGTACATACCAATGAATTTTGCCTCCAGCAATAATTGCAATAAATAAAGCCACAATGCAAAGAATGCCAAGGTACCTGTACTGCCTACTAGCCCCTTCCCGAAGGAAGCATGATGCCAAAACACCGGATTTAACGGTGACCTGAGCCCCTCACCAGCCGACTTTGACACCACCTGAGCCGTGGATCCGCATGTTGCAACTGCGAACAGAGGATGCGTATTTAAATTGGTCTTGCCATAGCACCGTGAGCACATGTTTCCACAAGAGGTGGTAAGGGCAGCATGGTTTCCCCAAGACAGCACACAGTACAATAACATCCTTGACGTGCCAAGTGATATAGCCGAGGAAAAGCCTTCTTGATCCTGTCGTTGCACATCTTCCATCGTAAGTTCCCTTGCATGCGCCACATCCCATAATGGATACTCTTACCTTGTGAATGCCTCACAGTAACATCCTTCCTTCAAATAAGAACCGTATCTCCATGCCATCCATATCTCCATGCCAACCATATCATGATGCCGCTGCTATTCCATTGTAAAAGCTCGTTAATCCAGAGCACTTGTATTGTAGATCCAATGCTATACATACCAATGAATCTTGCCGCCGGCAATAATAGCAATAATAAAAGCGCACTGCCAAGGAATGTAGTATCCGTACTGCCTTCTAGCCTCCCGTAGGAACGTGGCGTCAAAACACCGGTTTTAACGGTGACATGAAGCCCCTCCCCAGCCGACTTTGACAACCACTAGCCGTGGGTCCAGCCATGTTGCCAAGAAGACAACCCATCGTCTTCAAGTCGAGTAAAGTATAGCCGTGCAATGATGGGAAGCATATACTTT